AAGACAATCCCGAGCTTCGTCAGGTGATATTGGGGCAATATATCCGAGGTTAGGGGGTGGTTTGGATGGAAGGTTGTGTGGATGTTGATTGTTTAGTAGCTCCTGGAAATAGCTTCTCCATCTATCTTTCACAGAGGCATGGTTGCATAGCAGCATGCCCTGGGAATCCCTGACGCAAAGACATTTGGTGATATCTTGCGTCGCATTATCTCGGGCACGTGCCAGTCTGTATATGAGCTTTTGCCCCTCCGCAGTTTCTAGCTTATCGTACATTGGTGATAAGCTTTCAGTGCGGGTTCTGGCCACAGCTCTTTTGCTGGCAAGTTTGGCTGCTATGTACTGCACTTTATCTCCAGGAAAGTTGGTTCGATGCCACTCCCTAAACGCCGCCTTCTTTTCCGTACTACCCCCTGAACCTTATCATTCCACCACCACGTCTCCTTGTCGATGATCGCCACACCGTTTATTTCCCGAATGAGACGCAGTGTATATAAGCCGGTAATCCTATCCGATGTTATGGGACTTATTACCCTTCCAGCGACCTTGGAACGCACACACGTCGCATCAGTACCTGTTCCCTACATCGTCCGGTTAGAGAGCCAATATTCTATGAGGCAAATCGGAGTTTCCTTCTGAGTACTATCCCACTTACCGCAGGTTGAGATCAAAACATTTGGGAAGATATGTGAAAGCCTAATATTAGCCAGCTTAAGATCCTTTATGGACACCAAAGTGCTCCCCATCCCAGAACAGTTTGGATTCAGAGCCAAACATTCATGTACCCACCAAGCGCACCGCATCACGGAGCACATTCTAGTCAAACGCCAATGCGGATTCTTCACCGGAGCGCTCTTCCTAGATGTGGCAAAGGCCTTCGTATGGACAGGCATTTTGGCAATGGAGTGCCCGGTCGGATCAAGATCAATCCCGCCGAGCCGTTGTCGCAAAGGGCCCGGCGGTGTTGGCCCCTTTTCTCACACGATATGCCGCGTGTTAAAGATGTATCTGTTTTTCTATACCACAGGCAGAATACCAGAAAATCCACGCCTCCCGGTTCACCAACAGGTTTTCATGGATCAAGATCAATCCCGCCAAAAGGGCGGCTGTCCTTTTCTCACACAAAAATGTATCTAATCCACTCCCCGTTAAACTCATGGATAGCCCGGTACCATGGGTAAAAAAAGTCAAATACCTATGAGGCGTCCTCGACTCAAAACTTAAATTCAGTCAGCAAGTGCCCGGGTCAAGGACCGGGCACCCCCGTACTCGGCCGCCTCTATCCGCTCCTCAACAAAACGTCAAAAATGTCTCTTCGGACCTTATTATATAAGGCAGTATTCGCCATATCATGACGTACGCGAGTCCGGTTTTCGCGCACATTGCTCCGAAGCAAATACACCGACTTCAGGTCATTCAGAATCGGTTCTTGCGCTGAGCTACGAGAGCACCTTAGTTCATGCGCAATATCGACCTACTTGCTGATTTAGAGCTGCCTACCATCGCTCAATTCCTGAAGCCGCCGCGTATCCCAATCCATTAATCAAAGGTGCCGCCACAGACTCAGGCCGTTAGGTACGTTCCACCGCAATCACCGTAGATCACGACACGTTCTCGACTTCCCTGACGATGAGACGACTATCGCCATCGAAGGAATTAATAAACTACATAACACTGCACACCGCACTCGCCGGCGAGTGCGGCCGACATATAATAGGTTCCGCCATGTAAGGTACATGTTAGGCTGGAGTTTCTTCCGCCACTTCTACTCCCAGCGCCAACGCTTTACGAAGTGAAATTCTCCCAGCCAGATAACAGCAACCAATCGAGCCGAGGTCCGGCCTTCTCGGGCACCCTCGAATCGGAATGCTAAACTCATATTGAGTGACCCTTGAGCCTAGTCACTCCATGGAGCGTCCGCCAAAGCGCCCCAAGAGCTTGACGACCTTCCAAACCGGTGATGGCCCGAGCCGACGCTCCCTCGGGAGCCCTCCAGCTTAGTCACCATAACGCGTAATAATAATACGCCGAGGTTCAAGCTAGGCGCCCCGAGCGCGCGGCCACCATAAGTCCGGTGAAACTGTAAAGGCCAACGTAAGTGGCTCATCAAGCCCAATATTGTTTGAATGAAATAACTTAAAGTATTGTTTTTAATTTTTTATTTCTATTATTCAAAGTAAGTCATCGCTAGGAAGTAAAGTAAAAAAAAAATACAATTTAAAATACGTTTAGTTGAAGTAAACGTTACTGTTGCTTGTATGAAAAAATGTGTTGTAAAGGTTTTTTCTTGAAAATGACACATTAATATGTCAAACATGACGTATATTCTTTTATCAAGTATGAAAAATAAATACGTTTGCTAATTTTTGTCGTATTTTTATAATGGAATATAATATCATAAATATATCTTCTGACAAGGAAGTAGTAGGAAGTACTTACGCCGATCTTTATATCGATTATGACGACAACAAATTAAAAGTAAATAATAATAAAAGCGAAAACCGTATTAGTGCAACATTTCATAACGATAATAAAGATAGTTGGAAGTCTCCAAGTGATTTGCTTATTGGATTAGTAGAATTAAAACCACCGTTAACATCAAAAATAATTAAAAGTAAAACTCATGAGGGCATTTTGGAAATCGGAGATGATTTACTAAAAACAGAGCATCAAGAATTTCTTATCTCACTCAGAAAATTATTGGACGAGAATGATGATTGCTGGACATTTATTTTAAAAAATGCAGAAGAAGAAATCTATGAAAAAGTTAAAACAAAATATGAGAAAATTTTTAAAGAAAAAAGAACGGTAATGACCGAAGAAATAACAAAATTTTATGAAAATTCTCTTAAGGAACTGGAAGTGCACATTAAAAGTGAAGTACAAAATGTATTGATAGGCGTACATGCTAGTATGATCAGTACTTTAAATAACCAAATACATTCCAAATTACAAAAGGAAAAACTAAAATTAAATCAAAATTTAAAAAATAGGTATGAAAATGAGGTAAAGAAAGTTGAAAAATATTATGATTTTCTTTTAAACCATGAATTCGAAAGAGTTGATAAACTGGTAAAACGCGCAATTAGCGAAAGGAACCACGCTATAAGCATTTTTTACGAACAAATTTTGCATGAAAGAATTACTAGCACAATGTACATTATGTGTACAGAAAGGAGAAAGTGCAAAGTTAAAAAAATTTTGATAGAAAACTTTCAAAATCAGGAGATAATAGAGATAGTGGAAAAAATCAAAGAGAAGAGGGAAATATTAGGATCATTTAAAGACAAAGAAGCAAAAATATCTGAATTAAACAAAGATTGGGAGGAGAAAAACAAAAAAGTTTTGCTAATGTTTTCTAAATTCATTAGTTTTGCTCTAAAACTTTTACCAGAACAAACAGCATTTTTACTTGAATTTAAAAAAATTGTGCAATTGCAGCTTGAGGAACTTAAAGACAGTGATATGTCTAAATCATCAATTTTATTAGAAGAAAGTAATTTATTAAATTTTCATCATTTAGATTCCAGTGACTCGTCATGTGATAATGAACCATTTATCATTGAAGGAGATTTGTCGGATACACCTATAAGGGTTTATGGAAGCAGAGAATCATTACCAGCCGACGTTGAATTACCCTTGATAACATTACAAAGACAGTTTGTGTATGCAAAATGTCATGGGTTTGAAGGAATTAAAAAATATTTAGAATCTCAAAAGTGTCAATGTCGAACACCATTAAATAAGGAATCATCAATATCAATATCAATTGCCAAACCGGAATCCATAAAAACAAGCACAAGTAAAAGTTCAGATGAACTCTATGTATTTGAAGATGTTCATCGTCTAATTGATTGTCCTGTTCGAAGGTGTACTAATATGTTAAGAAAGTTTTCTTTTCCGTACTTAAATTGTTATTTAGATTACTCACAAGAAAATTTTAAAAGAGTAGAAGCTATTCTTGGTGCCTCACCTAAAAATCAAACGAAATCAATCCCTTTGGACATAATGGATATTACTTGCAGTGACCTGCCATTCTCAGAAACAAAAGAGAAATACCATAGTGTTGGAACTCAATATTCCAGCGAAGAAGACATACGCTTAGATAACTCATGTCTTTGCATTCAAAATCTAATTAAAAAAAATTATAATAACGCTAACAAAGTTTCTCCACTGTCAACGGCAGAAATTTGGATTAAACGAAAAAAAATGCTGAATGAAATTTGCAACAAATATCCGAAGTTGATGAAAATTTTAGGTGATCATGGTGTACCGGTAACTTTTTAATATGATAATTGAAGAAAATGTAAACCTTTTAAAATTTCAGTTTTTTTATTTTACTGACATAGTAATTTCTATTCTATAAATTATATAATTAAATACTTCATTTCGTACCAGAGATCGTTCTGAAAACATTGTGTCAAAAGAAAACATATCTTATTGACATTTTTTGATACAAAGGAATGTTGTTAAAGGGATGTTGTTAGCAATTCGTTGTAAATAAATTTGCTAGTTTGCAGTTACAAGTTGTTTATCATTCATAAGTTCTAAATTTTGAGTTCCATCCGTCCAAACCATCGTGTTTAAGCGATGTATAATAGGATTATTTACAAGCATGACAACAGTGTCCATGGGCAACAAATAGTTTTGATTACGTTACAACACGGGTTTATCGATCCTATAGTGGTACAAGCCTCCCGTACCTTTATTATAAAAAAAGCTTACTATAAGTGTCATTTGTACATCTAAATCGGTATCAATATGCAGAAGCAAAACCATTATTAAACTGTGAGTGGTCAATTCTTTATATAACCATATTGTGGGTTAACATAGATCATTGATTAAATCAAAGACTATTTTGTTTATTCAAAAACAGAATAAGTTGAAGTTTCAAAGAGAAATGAAACCACGTAAAATATTAATAGTTAAGCCATCTAAATATGAGAGATCGGAAGCCCTACGCAGCAATAAAAAATATTGGCAGAATACTCTGCTTCGGCTAAATGAAAAAGACGCTGGAACGGTAAGTTATTAAATACACAATCATACGCAAAGCAAAAATTCTTAAAATTTTAATCGTTATGATTTAAACTGTGAAAATTATGAATTAATAAATAAAAAAAGAATAATTATGAATAAATATTTAATATAATGTATTTATGACTAAACTATTCATGAATAAATCTTTAATATATAGTAAATGTAAAATGTAATCGCTTCAATCGATTCAAATTATGGTTCCAGATGCTCGCGTCTGATATTAAACATCTATCACAAGATCGACCAAATGATCTTTGTGAACAAGTTTGTAATATACTAGACTACGACATTATTGCAAAACGCAATGAGATCACACACGCTCCCAGTAATTAAAAAAAATCATAAAGAAAGTTAAACTAACTATTATAAAAGTAATATGCTCAATATATAGGCACTTTAATTTAACTTACAGAACATCGGGCTCGAAATATAAAAAAAGAACCCTTCATGTCCAACAGGAAATCAATAATCATTGAGAGAGAATTGGAATCTGACACGGATGTAGAGTATTGTAGCAGGTCTTAAATTTATAATTATTCAAATGAATTTGATAAGACTAAATGTCCTTTAAGATTGCTGATCTATCCATACAGACACAATAACAAAATTTTATTAGACTGTAAAAAATTGTATCTCAGAAAAAAGCTTATAAAGTTATTATTAAGATATGATTATTTCTTACTTATAGTACTAATCTCACAAAAAGACGCAGGAGCTAAACCCAAAGCTGTAATTTCTTTTGAAAATATTTCTGTTAAACTCCTATTTAAAAAATAACAATATACATTAAGGGTATTTCGTATCTCGACCAACATCATTAAGAATAAATTTACAAATTTAGTTTAAAATTTTTGTAAATTGCAAAATAGTTTAAATAAATATTTGTATTAGATATAACTACTTATCACATTACGCACAGAATCAAATTTAATAGTTATACAAACAATATTTAGGCTTAAACTCACATGCAGTTTAACACGATAAAGGATACTTTATATTGGACTGTTTCAAGATAAACAAATGGCGTCTCTAGGACAAATGAAAAATCATCTGACAGTTATTGTAATACATAAAAATCAATATTTGTTTGAGTGATCATATTTCATGCACCGTGCATCCAATTGCCTGCACTTGTCAACTGCAAAAGGAATAGTACAATTAACAAACTGTTGTTGGTGTGAAATGTAATGATAAATTGCATCAACGCGTCGGGTACCAGCTAGTTTATTAATAATAGTTGCATCTTAAATTAAAAAAGCAAAATTATTAAAATCATCCCTTGTCAGAGAGGCATAAAAATCTGTCGCATTCAGTAATAAATGTTACAGCGAAGATGAAGAGATAAATATAAATATTCATCAACAATTATTACGAAAACCTGAGCGAGAGCAAATAACATGGAATACGCGATTTCTTCAGCCAGAGAGAGAGGATGAGAAAAGTCTTATCAAGAAAGCAAACGATGTCACGGAACGGGTACAGTTCTGATCATCATTCACTTCTAGAAAACGTTTCTATTGCAATCTAGAACATACCAAAAATACTAATTGTTAAGAGGAATAATTAAAGTTTAGTAATAATTCATCACTTTGTTGTAAATAAGTTACTGAAACTGCGTATCCTACACGAAGATTCACTATCACATACATCAACACTCCGGCAGTTACGCCACGCAGATGCATGCACATTTTATCAAGCTAATGCTGCATTTCAACGGATAAAAGTATAAATTTTCATCAACTATTAGCATCAATTAGAACTAGGCTTCTCCTTAACTAAGTAGGAACATATCGATATTAATATTTTCCGCTGAACCTTTTTCCAAATAGGCTAATAATATGTGGTTATTGTTATGTCAATGTACATGCGATCTGTGTGCACCCCTCTTCGGGCGAACGCCTCCTCCCAATTACCACTCGTCGCGATTCCTTGCGAAGTTTGACCAATTACGAGTTCCAACGGTCTCTATCTTGTCTTTTCACCTTGCCCTTGGTCTCCCTCTGCTTCTGGGCCCATGAGGTCGTCACCACATAGTCACGAGCTACGTCCGTCTTGTGTCTGTGTAGCGTGGCCCGTCTACCTCCATTTCAGACCAACAAGACTACTGTCAGTTATATAATTTTTTTAACTAAAAGCTTGGATGAATTCAAATAAACCATATTAATAGTGAACGGATATTTAAAACTGGTTCTGCGATGTCAGAGATCATTTATTATATTAAAATGAAAAAGCAATTCTCTGTACATAGCATCTATATTTAATAGCATCAATAATAGCATCAATATTTTTGTAGATTGCACAAGCTTTTTGTGAATACATGAAAGATTTAGGTGGAGACCAACAATCTCAACTATTCACGGCTAAAGCCATTAAGGAATTATTTCAAGTAAGTATCAAAAATAAAATCACAATGACATAAATTAATCATTTTTTTATTGATATTTTACATTTTTCAGGTGGAATTCGACACCCACGTGTCACGTAGTCTTCAAGTCGTACCAAAGGAATTGCCAACTATTATCGACAAAATAGCTACTGTGACTGGAAATGTTGAGGTTAAATACGATTTTTAAGTAAAACGTAAAATTTTAATAGTAGCAAGTATTTAACTGGAGAGTTTGTTGATGATCTAACGATATTTTAGTTGAGTTGGCTCAATTGTACGAACCACGACGAACACTCTGTTTACTTTAAGAACTTTTTTCGTTTAAATTTAAAGCGAATTCAACTGAAAGTTTATTGTCATTATTTTTTCAAAATTCTTAAGATTCACATGCAAAATTATAGCTATCCCGGAAAGCAGCATTGGGAAGGGAAATATCAAAAGACATTAAAGCAGAAAAACGACCCGAAAATTTGAAAGCGTTTGGGCAAAGTCTTCCGAAACGGGAGCAGTGGCGTCCTCCAAAGAATGATACAAAGAATCAATGGTGCTCTGCTCGACATGTTCCTAAAGACCTCGTCTCGTTAAAGACTGTATGGGAGGGCATTACAAATATAAGGTAGGTTTTCAACAGACAGGCTCGCCCGGGCAAGTACCAGGGCTTCACAGAAGCGCATTAATAGAACTATTATACTTTCGTGTTTCGTTTGGTGAGTGAGGAAACTGGGGCCTACTTTTATAACTTTAACAACGCAACGGCAACACGTCTGGTGTAATAGTCGTCCATGGGGCATTACGCACTTAAAATCATGTGAACCACCTGCTTGTTTGCCAACTTTTTGCATATAAAACAAGAAAAAACAAAGCATTTCGTGTTTATTTACATTGACATTGTGTTTTACATTCTTGTTGTTAACGAAGACTGATTAATTTTATATCCCTCTAAGGAAATAATTATTTGCAATCATTTAACTCGAATATTCTTTGTACAGGAGCGTCAGGGAATACTGCCGTTGGATGATCCAACATCCAGAACATAGACGTGCCCCATATTTAAACAGCCTGGGTATGTTTGATCCTGCTGTTCTTAACGCCAGACTCACAATGGAACTGCAACAGGGCGTAACTCCCCCTCTTCCAACCTTTGATAATGCACCAGCTCCGATCGAGCAACTTCGCCGAAGATTATCACAACTAGCCGATTGAATAGTTTTTAATTGTTAATTTAAAAAAAAATCGAGTGCATTTTTAAATAATATAAAATTATAAATTTTAAGTCTGACATAAAAAAACAACTCACATTATAGCTAAGAACCGTCTCGATCACAACAGCTTTAAAAAAAACCGCACCATAAACAGATCATTCATTTAGAAGCTACAACAGACGCACAGATATACAGACAGACACGTAAAATTTATAACACCACTTTTTTACCGTGAGGGTTAAAAATAGTTAAATTAGCATTCATTGCAATTTTGAAATTATACAAGCGCCATCTATGCCAATACTTTAAACCTACAGCAATAATAAAGTTAGGTAATATTTCGAATCTACTCGAGTCACATCTGTTCACATCGTCATGTAATTAAAGAAAATTTCACTAGATGGCGCTAAATACAAACATGTTTTTTTTTTATATTTCTAATCACCAAAATGTATAGATGATACCACTTCTGCATTGTATTTTATTCTTACTTTCTTTCAATTTATAACTCTATGCTTATTTTTTGTTTTTTATATAGTTGAAATTTGTAAAAAACAATTGGTATTATCTAAAATTTGGCAAGAAATTAAAAATCATAATTATAGCAGCAGTGTCAGCTTTATTTCTGTTTTGACATAACATTGAGAACTTGGCTTTTTGTTGCATATACGTAACATATACTTATCTAACAAAAAGGTCCCTTTAATTGATTGTAAATATGCCCTGTGGCAAGAGACCGCTAATCAAAAATTGGGAGAAACCTAAAAATATGAAATTCATAAAGCCATCTAAATATGAGAAAAACGAAGCATCGGTCAAACTTCATTGGAAATCTGTAATGCGTTCATTGGAGGCTTCATACAAAGACGATCAGGTAATGCTCCTTCTATATATATTTTTTGATGATAATATTTTTTGTTACAAAATAATTAATTTAATCATTAATATTTTTTTTTCATAATTCTTCACTTTTGTTACATGTACAATAAAAAAGACATAATATGCAACATGCATAATATAATTATACAAAACGCAGACCTGTATGATAGATAAAATTATGTTATCGAGATACTTTTCAGTAATGTGGAATTACTGAAAAGTATCTAGATGTCGCGGAAGACGGTCATGATTTCGAAACATCATGCGTTTGCGTTTCATCTGGTGTGTGGTTTCAACGTTTAAAATTTAGTAATACAATTTTAAACGTTTCAATGGCTCTGCAATCCAAAAACTATTATAGATGTTCATAGGACAAAGTAATCACAACATCATCTGAACCACCTGCTTGCTTACCTTCTCACTCTAAAGAGCTACATTAACAAGAACAGTTTACTAGTTGTCTTCCAGGATACACATTACAACCTGCATTTCAGATGATTTAACAGAATGGAGAATATTTCGAATATAGTAAGTTCGAATAATAAGTAATAGTACCCGGAGGACCGAGCTTTGCTCGGTTTGTTTTTTTTTGGTAAATCGTGTATTTTGGAAATTACATTTAGATACAAATAACTGAGTAATGAAATATGCATAATATTTTTCGATCTTACCGACGTAATAATAAGAAAATACGAACTGATGTTTTTCACAAAAGAAAGAACTTAAAAAAAAGGGAAAAAAATTACAAAATAACAAATCGACAAAAAATTAAAAATAAAGAAAGAAATGATCTGGAATCGAAAAAAAAGTTAAAGAATAAATGTGTAAATGATCGTGACGCGAACCACGGCCGTCTGTTTTGGGGCCGCCCGATTACCGACCGAGCTATTATGACATTTTCTCTTGCGGCGAAATTTACCGTCATATTCGAATTATTCGGGATAAAAGGACATTTTCTAAAAGTGAAACCTAGCTAGATCGATTTTTCGCCCCCGAATCTATGCACATACTAAATTTCATTAAAATCGCTGGAGCCGTTTCCGAGATTCCGATTATATATATATATATACAAGAATTGCTCGTTTAAAGGATAAGATAAAAAGCGTTATATATATGAGTTGCCATATGAATCGACCTTACTAAATCGTGATAGTTCAGTGTCCGGACGCTCACTGTTAACTTAATAAACTCGAGCAACCTGCTTTCAAATACCGGTGCTAGCACCAATGAAATGGTTCATAATAATTTTAAGCGTTCAAATATTAGTTTTTATATTGCTAATCTCTGCACTTAAAATTAAAACTGGCATAAAAATCGACGACGCTTTTTTTGCCAGTGCGGGAATCGAACCTACGTTTTCAGGAATATTTTATTATTTTTTTAGTTTATGAAACTAACTAATTTAAAATATTAATGTATTTGATTTGTATGAGGAGGATTTAACATTTTATCAAGTAAGTTAATTATTATTCAATATAACAGATTATTACTTTTTTAAAAATTTTAAAGTTTTTTATAGTGCTAATCTCTGCACTTAAGATTGAACATTAAAACATGTAGAAAAAGTACGAAAAGGCGTTAAGATTTTCGTCGCTGTGGCTATCAGCCGTTTAGCTCAGTGGCTAGAGCGTCAGGCCGTGGATGTCGAAGACGTGGGTTCGATTCCCACAGCGGCGACAATCTTTTCGTACTTTTTCTACATGTTTTAAAGATCATTACTTGTGAAATTTCCGTTCTGGCCATTTCAAACAAAAAAAGTTTTGATTGGCTGTGAATTCTAAATTCAAATTAACTTGTTTTAAAAACATGCATTTTTATTTTACAAAGTCAATCTTTTAATTATTAATTAACTTTGTATTTTCATTATATTTGAACATTTTTCGTCATAATGTATACTTTAAAATTTCGTGTAATTATGGTATATGACTTCCGTTGTGGCACCACGGAACCATATGGTATATGAGTTCCGTTGTGGAACGGCACGTAACATCAACAACGTTTACGGAGTAAACTTTACAAAACGAAGGCACAACCCAACATTGGTTTTCCCGGTGCCGTTAAGGAAATGGGGACTTGAATGAACCTCGTGGTCGTCCGGACACTGGTTAACAATGATGAATTAAAAAAAGAGCTTGTGGAAGTTGATATTATGAGCAAAACCATAGTGGTCCATTTGCGATAAATTAGAGAGCTGAAAAAATCTGATAACCCATCTATCAGATTTCTTCCCACCCACTTACTTAACGATCGCCAGCGCAACGTACGCGTCGAGACCTGCCTCGCACTGCTCAACAGGCACAGGAATAAAGGAATTTTGAACCGTATTGTTACGAGCCATGAAACGAGTCCACAATCGAAAACGCTCAGCAAGTTATTTAGATCCTGGTTCAACACAAAAGCAGTGCCCTAAACGAAAAATGACCCTTAGAAAGGTCACTATTTCGTGGTCTAGTGCCGGTGTGATTCATCACAACCTTTTTACAAAACAGCATCAGCCTATCTGCAGATGTGTACTTCGAACCACCAACTTTTTAGCGTGAGAAAAATTCAATTCCCGAGAGGAAGTACAAACTGCCTTTAAAGTTTGTTGCCTCCCGTTAAGCTGATTTTCACAAGAAGGACATCAACAAACTACCATTGTGTTGGCAAAGATGCATCGATGGCATGTGTGATTAAAAGTAAAGTAAAGTAACAGCCTATACATGTCCCACTGCTGGGCAAAGGCCTCCTCTATAGAGAGGGTATCAGGGCATAGTCCACCACGCGGCCCCACTGCGGGTTGGCGGACTTCACATATCTTCGAAATATATTTTTTTTTTTGTTATTATTTCGAAAATATGCAGGTTTCCTCACGATGTTTTCCTTCACCGCGGAGCACGTGATAAGTCAGCACTTAAAGTTAAAAACTTCATTGGTGCCGGCACCGGGGATCGAACTCAGGTTGCTCGAGTATATTGAATTAAAGGCGAGCGCCCGGACACTGAGCTATCACGGCTCTCATGTGTGATTATATTGACTTATTTCATACAAAACGGCAGTTTCATCGGTAAACACCAAATAATATCTTAATTATCACGGCTTTGATTTATGTCATATTTATGCCTTTTCAGTTCTGGGAGTCACAATATGATACAGTTCGTAATTTACTGAATCCGGTAATATTTCATAGAATAACAAAAATATTTCACCTACCATCGGAATCGAAGAACTATGAACCACTGGAGACAGAATTAACGCCAGTCCCTTCTGAAAAGTTCTATGATACAACGCCCAGTGGAGTAAGCAATATTTCCGGTATAAAGTAAAGACCCACATCAAATGGGCCTTAACACATCATTATTAACCACGACAGGTCCGAGATCCCTGCAGCCGAATCAGATTCTCTGTATTTGATTTTCAACGACAGCCAAGCGAGTTACAAACGAGGGAGCAGTCAGAGCATTGGACCGTCTCGTCTCACAAGACCTCCGAATATAGGAAGCTGATTAGATCTAAGTCGACGATCAGGTCGAAATCAAAAGACCTTAGAGCTGCCTCCAAGTCGACGGCGCGTTCATTCCCCAAGTTCGCTCCCAGGAGGTCGCAGACGGAAAAATCGAAAGACAGAGGCTCGGACACCTCGGATAATACACCGCCAGAATCTGATGATGACCTCAAAGTGTATCCCAGCGAGATGGGGAAGTGCGTTAACAAAGATTTGCTTTAATAATATAAAATAATAATTTAATATATATTTTAGATAGTAAAGTATTTAAAATGTAATAACAATTTGATCATTGTATCCTCAGTAACATGGTTGCCTGGAAGAAATCGCTTCTAAGCGATAAGGCCGCCAATTGTACCTTTATGTAGTTGTTTGTTACTTTTGTAATTTTGTCTGGTGTACAATAAAGCATATTTCATTTCATTTCATTTTCATTTCATTTATCTGTATAATAACTCTACCTTATTTGACAAATTAATTCTAAATTATGTAATTGCATCTCTAAACCATGAAATATTAACATTTTTATTTTTGTAGGTACTGTTTTCATATATAAATTGTTTTAATGAAACCACTTGATAATTACAACATAATTAAATTAACGGTCTATTTTTTATTCTACAGAAAACTTCAAAGCCAAAAAAATCCTCATTATGAATTTTTGTACTGCAATGAATCTGAAGCAGATATGATCAAGTGGAACTCAAAGTTTATACAAAAAGGCTTCGAAGTATCAGCATCCGACCAGTTTAACAAGGAGGCAGAAATCGCTACTAAGAAGGTTATATACACGTATAATTAGCAGTTTATAAAGAAAAATGAAATGCTTTTATTATTAAGATGTAAGCCTGTCTCATATCTTATAGCCGAAACCTTCACGGAAAGGAATTTAAATTTTTATACAATAAAGGTACACATATTTTACAAAAATTCTACGGTTTTCCAGATTTAAAATATTCCATTTTTCTGTCCCTATACTGTAAAAATTGTAATAGTTACTAATGGCAAACTATTTGGAAACTTATCATATAGAACAAATAATTTCATATTTAAAACTTTTCATTTCGATAATTAGTTGGGTAAGAGCCAAGGACGACGTATTATCACAATTTAAAAATATGATAATCTGATTTCCAGACTGTGTACCATTAGGCAAGTAATTTGTACTCTTCACAATGAAAGCATAATTTTCTTACTTACAATCAATAAGCAATATTGATTGTAAGCAATATTATTAAAAAAAAGAAAAAGAAAATTACAATAATGCTATGTTTTGTCGCTTAAAATTTCTGATTTTAAAGATTCACTTGTTTTATTTCAGATCGCTACTGAATTTTACGAGTGGTGGTCAAAATTAGGTACCGGAGATTTTAAAAGCGAAATTAAACGACCGGAAGATATTGAAGATTTATTTCAGGTGTTCAAAATATATTTTCATGAGATTGCACAAAAATAAAAATGAAATTTGTACTTATTCTATAATATGCCGTAATAACTCATTATCCGGGCGCTCACCTTTAATTTAACGTGCTCTAGCAACCTAAGTTCCATCCCCGGTTTCTGGCACCAATGAAATTGTTAATTTTAAGTGCTGACTTTTCACGTGCTCAGCGGTGATGGAAAACATCGTGAGGAAATCTGCATGTTTTCGAAATTATAACAGAAATAAAAGTATTGAAATGTGAAATCCGCAAATCCGCAGCGGGGTCGCGTAGTGGATTACGCCCTAATAGCTTCTGTACAGTAGAGGCCTTTTTTGCCCAGCAGTGGGACATATGTAGACTGTTACTTTTCTTAACTACTTTTACTTATTCTATCATTACATATTTTTCCAGGTGTGGTTTGATGAGCATGCGTCTAGAGGTCTAATGCTAGACCCAAAAGTGCTTCCTTGCGTTAATGAAAGTATTGCAAACTATGTAGGAGTACCAAAGGTGAGAAAATTATGAATACTTATTTAAGTATCGAAATCGGTATCGATTTCATTGAATCTTTTGTTATCGCGTACTATACTATGTTATAATCATCATATCACGCCACGAAGCACGATCCTGAGCAACTCCATCCATCGACATTTGCACAGGTCGCCCCGTCTAGTGAAGTGGTTGTGCTACATTACGATAGCCAATATTATTTTATATATACATATAGACATTTATACTATATCATATCTCTTAAAGTAGCCGACACTTAATTCTTCCACTTATGAAAAACTATTATATATTTTAGCCGTGATAGCTTACTTTCCTGGTGCTCGCTTTGAATTATATATATTCGAACATTATATATACTCGAACAAACTGAGTTCAATCTCTGGTGCCGGCACCAATAGAATTGTTAATTTTACCGTGAGGAAACCTGCATATTTTCACAATTACAATAAAAAAAATTTTTTCGACGATAAATGCCCTAATACCCTCTGTACAGAGGAGGCCATTGCCCAGTAGTGAGACATAATATAGGCCATTTCTTTTCTTGACAAATCGTTTTTATTTAATTTTCATGTTGTATTTTATATATTTTATTTTTATTTGTATGTTGTATGGAATATTTAAGACAACCTAATTTGACAACCCGAATAACGTAGTCAGTAGTGTACCTGCCTTCTGCGCCAGAGAACCCACACCGGGTTCGATCCCGACTACTGGAAAAATATTGTGTAATGAATGTTTTTCTAGTGTCTGGGTGTTTATATATGTATAATGTATATTTATTTACAAAAGAAAAGTATGTTTAAGTATGTCTATCAGTTTTCTAGTACCCATAGCATAAGCGTTGCTTAGTTTGGGACTAGAAAACGTTGTGTAAAGAGAATGTGTCCTAAATATTTATTATTTATTTATTATTATTATTATTATTATTTCACACTTTTTTTAACATGGCTAGGCTTCGTGTCCGAAAGTACTGAAGAGACAAGTATCCTCCGACATTCGTGCTGAAACCAGCCCGGCTCACACGAGCGCTTTCGGCACATGCCTCCCGCAAGCCCTGAGACATATCCCACCCCGTAACAATACGAAGAAAATTTGGCACAATGTAAAGATACCCGAAGATTTAAAATCAATGTCCTATATATGGGATGAAATACAACATCTAACGTAAGCGTTTAGTCTGAGATATTTTTACTCTTTCTTTTAATTTCTTCTGACCTTATCTATCTATCTGGCCTTGTATCTGTTTGTATTTGCTAGATTTTCATATATATTTCCAATTTTTTCAAGGATTTAGTAACATTAACGTAATATATGTGTGTAATCGTATGTTCCTATTTATTTGCAGTTCAACTAAAACTTTCCATACTTGGTTAAAACAACGGCCCCACCTACCGATGCCCCCATTCCTTGAATCGTTAGATGAACCTGGTGAAAAGAAACAATTATTTGTCGTTCCATCTGATTTCGTTGTAAAGGAAAAATCATCGTCTTCAATAACCCCAGGACTGGCGTTCCCGGTATCAGATTTTACCCTGGAGCTAAAAGAAGAGCTTAGCAAGATTTTGAATTAGCAATAACGATTGTTACAGTTTCACACTTAAACGTCATTATATTTATTATAAACAATGTTATACGTTATACGTTATGTTATTACATTTTTATCATTTATTTATAATAGAACTATATACGAATTTGTCTCATATTTAAAAAAGCCAAAACTTTCCGATTGATCTTATCCGTATTTTAATATTAAACCCCCCCCCCCCCCCCCCCCCCCTCGCCTTAATTCAAACTATGTCAATAACATAACACATATTACAACGTTTACAACGTTAGTTAACGTCATATATCATAGTTATAATACCAAAAAACAAGTAAACAAAACAATTATGGCCCTGAATGTGATTAGGGCGTAAACTAGATAATTATCTAAAACAAAATTAGAAAATTTGTTTTGATAACTGTTATATTACTTAATACTACTTATACATTATAATATAAACCCATGTAGGATAATTAGATTAGGCAGATAGAAAATAACCCCATTATGTAATAAACAGACTTAAAGGCAAAAACATACATACATACAAATACATAAATAAATACAAAAAGCTATTCTTAGAGATAAGAGTGGGCGATTCTGCCGATAACTTTTTAGGTAAGTGCTCGTGAGATTTCGTTTTAAATACGAAGGGACTCTTGGGCATCTTTTTTCTAGATGTAGCGCATACCACAGAAGTATAGATTGGATGAAGAAAGAAGAGTGTATGAAAACTGAATGGTGAGAAAGTAATTGGAGAAGACCATTATTCGTATTTTTTTAATTAAGGAACTATTTTAAAAGAATAACATTATTCACATTTGCAAGTATGTTAATGGTTCACGCTCATTTTAAGCTTATATAATCTTTACTTTTTTCAATAAAAAATGTAACGACTGATAAAAATTTTAACAATATCCAGTAACAGGTTATGTCAACGTCAACACGGTAGATTCGAATTCAGTATAATATAATCCGTTTTAATCATATTTATAAAAAAAAACAAAGGATGGGTAAAAAAATATATACACGTATATAAGGGCGTCGCGGTATCAGACATTATTTAAAATTATCGAAATTAAACTTCAGCACTCGATCTTCAACATCCTCAGGGGTCAGTGAAGTGGCTCTCATGTCCTGCTTCTCGACGTCCAGCCATCGCTTCCTTGTGCGTCCAGGATGTCTAGCTCCAGGGAAAGGTATATCAAGGCATATCCTTCCGATATAGTTTTCCGGCATTCGACATGGCCATATCCCCGCCCGAGAGGGCGCCGCTTTTAGAGTTTATTCGCTACGTCGCGGACCCCGAGACTGCCACGAATGCTTTACGTGACCGCTTACTTACCTTTGCTAACCCGCGTGACGCCGCATAACCTTATCATCTTCATCTCCGTGACGTGAAGCTACCTCTGACTCGCTACCATACCGTACCATACAGAAGTACCGGGAAGACGATGCTCTTGTACACCTTTCCCTTAAGCTTGGGCGGTATTTTGCGGTCGCATACCACATTTGACCAGGATGCGACATATATTTAATAACCAATTTTGTATTATTGCTCTTTGGTACGTATCAATCTTGAAAAAATAATTATTTCTATAGTCTAAATAGAAAGTACATCATTAAAAATACAAAATCTGTCTTAATCATTATCCACTGGTACATGGCACCTGACCTAACCTGTTGTTATGATATTTCAAGATGTGATTCAGGACAAACGCAAGACTGTTTAAATCACGATCAAAATTCAACCTTGGGTATAGAAGGTACTTTTTATAATGATTAGTTTTTTTAATGGACCAAACATAAATAAGAAATAAAATTGGTACACATTCTCTATACATTGAAAACAAACTGGAAAAATTACGAGACAGGTACCCGAAGAAACAACGCAAAATAAAACAACATTTCAAAATAACAGCGAAATACTTCTCGAATTATTCCCTCGTATGTATTGTTATATAGTATTAAGTTATGTCGAAATAATTTTAAGGAAGTCGATAGACGACGATTGCGATAATTACAAATTTATTATTGATATGTCTCATTAGATATAAAACGATTTCAGATAATGTCATATTTTTTTAGTATTACATTTGCAATCTAAATCGCACTTTGTGTCGTTGTGAAAAACGTTAACATTTTTAATTGGCGTATTAAAAATGACGTTCCTTTGTTTTTCAAAGTCGTAACATGAAAAATTGTTAAACGTATCATTCCAAGTTTTAATTGTCCACAGAGTAAGTTTATTAAACCTTAAAATGGCTGACCTACAAGCCGCTCATAAGGAAGTGTTAGATGAAATAGTGAATAGAAAGAAACTGGGTGACAAGAAGAGTCATTCAGAAACATCTCTACAAAATCTTGACGAAAATGAGGAAGGAAATTTTTCGGACATTTCAAAAGATCCTGGGGTACGTACTTTTGGTGATTAGCTACTTATAAATTTATAATTAAAAATTTGTAAATAATTAAAACTATATTGTGTCATTTAAATATAAAACTATGGTAAGTTGGGTGAAAACCAGTTTCATATTCATATTTCAATATTTATATTCATATTTTAATGAAGAAACTAAATACTCTTTCAAATTGTGCAAATTATTGTGTACGGTCAGTTTGACTATTAATTTGTTTAAATCAAAACATTATTTAGACCAAACTACTATAAGTCCTAAATTTCTAATCAAATAACATAATATACATAAAAAACTCACCAAATGCGGCGTGCTGTCAAGAACAAGAACTAGCTGTATTTGCATAGTATAATTCAAATAGCATCAGTAGAACTCACCAGCATATCAATTTACTCTTTTTATTGCTACTTTAAAGGTATACCTAAAATCTCCGAACCCTCAGCTTAGTCGTTAATTTCATGTGTATTTATTTTGAAAACTTACGCCCGGTTTCTGAAACACTGATCATCGTAGAAGTCACCAAATCAACTGTCAAATAGCTTTTCAAATGTTATTTAAGCTGCCAAAATGATTGTTAAACTCTCTGAATGATCAGAATGATCTTTTTAATGATCAGAATGATCAATTAGATCCGATAAGTTGACCTCTACGATGATCAGTGTTACAGAAACCGGGCGAGAGAGTCTTACAAGTTACGGCTAATTACAAAGCTAAATACATAAACGGTTTTGTTTCCTCAGGTTTTAAACATGTCCGTAAACGGTGGCACACATCACGATGACAACGGAGAACGAAGACGCACCATGTCGCAACCGGGCCCGGTGTCGGGGAGCCTGCTGACCGCAACCGCATCCCGCGCCGCGCGTCGACGCCCCCCTAGGAACGTCATGTACGCTCCCAACTTAGAGATAAACGTAAGTCTAATCATATATCGTTAATTGTAAAACTGAGTTACACGAAGGCGTCGCTGTTGCACGAAATGGGAGGTCCGTCCGGGGAAGTACCACGACCTCAAAAAGACCGGTGCGGTGTGAAGTACACTTCAGCGTTTCTTCCAAGAAGCGAAGTAACCGGGAACGACTTTATTAAAAGGTGGCAATGCTTTTACATTGTTCTTTCGAAATCGCAAAAAAATTATATCATTGATTTTTTTTGTATTGTGTATATACGTATACAAATAAACACTCGGTTCTACCTAGTATATTAGTACAAAATTTATATCAATAGAAAAACATTTAAGAGAATATTTAAATTCTCTTTTTGATTTTACTAGTCTATAGCAAAGCCTCTAAAATATGAAAATACCGCTTGCGAACTTTAAAGAAAATTTAGTTGAATTTATAAATTTAAAAAAAAACTGTAGAGATTTAAATACGCTTGTACAAAAGAACGTAAGCTTAAAAGATAAACGTGCTCGCATTATTACCATTATCTGTGGTATCACGGTAAGCTGATTTCCACCTTTTCGTTTATCATAAATCACGTGAACGGTATGTGCGAAACTGAATATACGGATATTACATAAGTAAATTGTTTAGTTATCAAAAAGTATTTTGCTAATTATTTCTCACCGAATACAAGACACTGTCAGGACAGGCCTTAATTATTAACGTTATCGTCGGGAAATAGTAAAGAGCTCCCCCCCATAATCCCATCCCCTTCATAATTTAGGAGGTAGAATGATAGAGCTATTGAAGTAATTTAATCAATTATTTATATACTTGATTAACTTTTTTCACTTTTTAAGTCTGTCAGAAAATAATGCTCAGTACATAAGTCACCTTTCGTAAAATTCTTATCACCTGCGATAGTAAAGTTTTCCAAATGATTTTGCCTTTTTTCGAATAAGTGTCACAATTCATTCATCATCAGTGAATAATACTAACAAAAATTATTTGGCAATTTTTCCTCACACTGCTGAGCATCACATAAGTGAAGGCAGGCCAGGCACTCTCTATTAGTACTCTATTACTATAGATTTATTAATATTCAAATAGTTTCTATTAAAATTTGTCATCGTCATCCGTCAACACCGAACGGTTGACTATGAGCCAAATAATAAAAAAAAAAGATTGTAATTGAAAATTTTTGGAAAGTTTTTTGTAAGCCCATCATCTTGTGACCATAACCAAAGGGTAAAACAGGACCATATTACTAAGACTTCACCGTCTGTCTTCTGTCTGTCCGTCCGTCACCAGGCTGTATCTCATGAATCGTAATAATGAGACAGATGATGTATTTCCGTTGCCGCTATAATAAAAAATACTAAAAAACAGAATAAAAAATATGTAACTGGGCTCCCATACAACGGATGTGATGTTTTTTCCCGTTTTCATAGGTAATGGTACGGAACCCTTCGTGCGTGAGTCGGACTCGTACTTGGCCGATTTTATTCACTTCTAGGCTATATATACCTCAGCACATGTTGTTGTTTATAATATAACTAGCTGCTGCCGGCGACTAGATCTGCGTAGAAAAGGCTGAAGGCGTAACATTCAGACACAAGGAAAGATATACATAACATATGTATACAAAGTTTAGCCTATGTCTTATTCTGATATATAAGCTATATTACTGTAAAGTTTCATTAAAATCCATTCAGTAGTATTTGCGTGAAAGAGTAACAAACATCCATCCATACATACAAAGTTTCGCAGTCGTGTCTAAATGTCAAAGTTTATTTTCTATTACATTATTAGTAAAAGAAAGCTTACGGGAAAAAACATCGTTTTTATTAATAAACATTGATTAGGGGATTTTATTGTTCCACGTATATGAACGCAATCACTCTCTGGGCAATTCTCTGCATCAACATACTTTGATAAGTGATTTGTGTTCATTACTTTTATTACTTTTATGCGCCGTAGAATCGTACATCGGGTACTTATCATTTCTTATCGCGATACTAAGGTATTTTTGTATGCAGTAAATGTGTCGTGAGCTAAATAGAAAACAACAATGCTTTGTTGTCCTGTTATGATAATATTCTAATAACATTTATTGTACATTTACATTCGAAATTAATAATAATTGTAATTGACTAAAAATATAAGAAGTTATAAATTTTAATACACAAATAGTGTCAAATGAACATGTTACTCGTTAGATTATTAGGCCTACCACCATAATACCAAGATAGCAAAATATTTCGCCTGTAATCTATGTATGCTGTTAGTACAAGTTTAAAATCAAAGACTACACTAAACCTACCACCGTAAATGTTGCGAACAAATATCAAGAAAATCTTTATAGTTTTGTGAACACAAAGATGCGGAAAATATTTTTTTTTATTAATAAAGGAGAAGATTATACAAGATTGTGATGTAATTATAAGATAAAAAAAATAAGATTGTATCTCTGATTACGATGATTATTGTGACTTAAAGTTCAAACATTTGTAGGGGCACGGTTTTTTCATAGTAATTATATATCATATAATTTAGAAAATAACATTGTGAATATTCTATTAACATCTCTATTTAAATATAAACTGTTTGAAATAACATTCATGATATAATTATTTTTAAGCTGGTATTAATGTTAGAATTAAAATATATGTAAGAATATGCTTGTTTAATGTGAGAAAATGGCAAACGACTAACGAGCTAGCGGTTCACCTGATGTAAGTGATCACCACCGCCCATTAACATTTGCAACTCTCGTAGGGTTGCAGATGCCTTGCCACTTTTTAATAAAGTGGGCCCCGGCTACCTCACTCACCAGACGAAATGCAGAAGTGTAACACTTCTACTCCACGCCGGTCTTCTGTGAGGTCATGGTACTAACCCAGACAGACCTATTCTTGCAACAGCGAACACTGTTGCGTGTCCCTATCACAGTCAAAAGTATATCGTGCTAATAATCAGAGGTCGCCATTAGGATTAATATAAACCCTCCTTCAAAAGCTATATTATTATGGCATTCGTGACATCGCCCTCAATCTCATTGCATCTAACCTTAGTAATAGAATTCAAAAAGTATCTATAAATTTTGTAAATTCCGCAGGGTTCCCCATGAAAATGGGTGTCCCACAAGGATCAATCTTGGGCCCATTATTATTCTTAGTGTATATAAATGATCTCCCCTTTTATGCCAGTGAGTTATGAGATGTTATACAGATTGCTGACGACACATCGCTCATTCTTAAGGTTGACCGAAACGTATTGATTTATGACGACGTGAATAGTGCACTTTCGCGAATCCGCCATCCTGGTTTACCTTTAATAATATAGTGTTAAATGCTAAAAAAACTAAATGCCTTCTTTTTACCCTTCCCAGCGTAAGAAGGTAAAGTTTTAGCTAAATTTTAAATAGCGTAACCCTTCATCCTGTTGAATCCGCTGTATTCTTGGGAATTTTCTTTCTTGAGAATTTTTTCAATTAGGAAGGTTAGGCAGCATCGACACTGCCAGACTTGTTTACTTCAGTTATTTCCACAGCATCTTATCGGTTGGTCGGCATTTTGTTGTGGGGTAGTGCATCATATATAAATTCTATATTTATCCTTAAAAAAGAGCTGTCCGAGCATTCTATAACATCGGAGCCCGGAATACACTCAGAGACCTTTTTGAAGAGATTAATATACTCACTGTTGCGTCTCAATATATTTATTGTAATATTTTGTATGTTAAACATAATATTAATAATTATCTAAAGAATAGTGACAGACATAAATACTAGAAATAAGGACAAACTAAGTACGCCATTGTTTCGTCTACAAAAAGTAAACAGGTTGTTCATGGGGCAAAGTGTGCGCATGTATAATAAAATCCCACAGTCGATATTAAGTCTGCCACTTGATGAATTTAAACAAAAAGTTAAAAGTAAACTTATGGCTAAAGCATATTATACTATTGCTGAATATCTTGACGACACCAATGTGTGGGGTTAACACTGTTGATACTTACGTAGGCTAAAACAAGACTATAATACCTGTAACATTATATTGTAAACTGACCTTTTAAAAAAGAGCAACTGTTGAGTTTCTTGTCGGTTTCTTCTCAAGAGAAACTGCTTTCCGAACCGGTGGTAACTTAAGAACATATTAATTTCCTTGTAAAATTTTGACGTTTCATAAGAACGCGCAAGCGTCTATGTGAATAAAGATATTTTATTATCATTATTATTATTATGTAAATGGTAGAAAAATATTCATATTTAATATTTATATGAAGAAAAAACATAAATCAGTAACAATGATGATTCAATTACCCATTACATTAAGAAAACCTAGATATGCATTACACAATATTTTTTTTGAATGACGTTTGAAGCGCTTAGCGATAAATTGCGATTATTTTTTAAATAATATTTGAATTAAATTAATCATGATTACTTATCGAGATAATATCTACAAGTCTCAAGTCGAACTTTATACAAAATCTAAAAATTAAGCATTACAGATTATACTCGATATTTATTACAAACAAATTCCTCTTTCCTTTCAGAGGAACAAAATAAATACATATATAGTCTTAAAATGACTATATATAACATAACTCACCGTCATAGTGACGCTTTCTTTTATTTTGACTTAAATAATTTTATTAAATCTAGTTTTAAGGTGACAAAAAATACTTTGTATTTGCCACTATATTATAAGAAACGAATTGCTACTCTAGTAGCATATAATATACAAAACCCAGTTGTACATAGTACAACTAAGCATATTTTATTATGTAATAATCTTTCAGCAAACAATGTTAGTTTAAACTAAACATTGAGACAACGCCTAGGCCACTTAAATTAAATATTGTGCATCAAAATATACAAGGCTTAGGCGGCAAAGAATCCGAAATTGAATTGTTCCTTAGGAAATTTAATATACATGTCATCTGCTTCACAGAGTCATGGTTACATAAGCACTGTAATATTGTTAATATAGAAAATTATAAATTGTTAAGTTCGTTCGTAAGAGTAAATGCTATTCGCGGTGGCTCTCTTGTATTAGTTAGAACTGATCGAACGTTCTATTGAATTATCCTGCGTTGAGAGTCAACAGTATATTATAGTATGCGTATACCGGCCCCCCTTAGGTGATTTCGATCAGTTTGAGTGCGTAATGGATGATGTTCTTAAAAAACTATGTTCAAGTAGTAAATCATTAATAGTTTGTGGAGATTTTAATGTGGATTTATTACAAGTAACACAACTCAGTAAACGACTTTTAATTTATGATTTTCATACTTATGATATTATAAAAGTTTTGAATTCTATTAATCTTAAAAATACAGAGGATTTATGGGGTATGTCCATAAAATTAATGAGCACAATAATGCCATATATTGCACCACATTTGGCTTCTATTTTTAACAACTGCATAGACTCTGGAATATTTCCAGATCTTATGAAATTTAGTAAGATAATACCTGTCTACAAAACTGGTGATAAAAATGATCCAGGCAATTATAGACCTATTTCCATATTGCCATCTCTTAGTAAAGTTTTTGAAAAGCTAATATTAAATCAACTTTTAGTTCATTTTAATGTGAACAAAATCTTTCACGATGAGCAATATGGATTCACTAAAGGCAGATCGACAACAGATGCGGGCGTCGCACTTGTCAAACATATTTATAACGCCTGGGAAAGGTCACAAGATGCAATAGGTGTCTTTTGTGACCTTTCAAAAGCCTTCGACTGCGTAGACCATAAAACTCTCCTTCAAAAGCTAGAATATTATGGCATTCGTGGCATCGCCCTCAATCTCATTGCCTCTTACCTTAGTAATAGAATTCAAAAAGTATCTATAAATGATGTTAATTCCGCTGGGTCCCAGATGAAAATGGGAGTCCCACAAGGATCAATCTGGGCCCATTATTATTTTCAGTATATATTAATGATCTCCCCATTTTATGCCAGTGGGTTGTGTGATGTTGTACTGTTTGCTGACGATACATCGCTTATTTTTAAAGTTGACCGAAACGTATTAAATTATGACGACGTGAATAGTGCACTTTCACATATCCTCCACTGATTTACTATTAATAATATGGTATTAAATGCCAAAAAAACCAGATGTATTCTTTTTACCCTTCCCAGTATAAGAAGGAAACGTTTTAGTTTAATATTAAATAACGTACCCATTAATCCAGTTGAGTCTGCTTTATTTCTGGGAATTACAGTAGATTCAAAGCTCCAGTGGAGTCCCCATATATCATCTCTTGCGAATAGGCTGAACTCCGCGGTTTTTGCGATTAGAAGGGTTAGGCAGCTAACAGACATCGACACTGCCAGACTTGTTTACTTTAGTTATTTTCACAGCATCTTGTCGTACGGCATTTTGTTGTGGGGTAGTGCATCAGATATAAATTCTATATTTATTCTTCAAAAAAGAGCTGTCCGAGCAATCTACAATATCGGAGCCCGGAATTCACTCAGAGATCTTTTCAAAGAGGTTAATATACTCACTGTTGCTTCTCAATACATTTATTGTACGGCATAACCTTAATTATTATCTACCTAAAGAATAGTGACAGACATAAAATAAACACTAGAAATAAGGACAAACTTACTACGCCATTGTTTCGTCTACAAAAAGTAAATAAGTCGTTCATGGGGCAAAGTGTGCGCATGTATAATAAAATCCCACAGTCGATATTAAGTCTGCCGCTTGACCAATTTAAATGTAAAATTAAAAATCAACTGATGACTAAAGCATATTATACCATTTCGGAATATCTTGACGACGCCAATGTGTGGAGTTAATACTGTTGATACTCACGTAGGCTAGAATAAGATTATTATACCTGTATATTATATTGTACCCTGATATTTTTGAAAAAGAGCAACTGTTGAGTTTCTTGCCGGTCTCTTCTCAACAGAAACCGCTTTCCGAACCTATAAACATAATCTTTGATGTAAAATTTGACGATTCATAAGAGCGCGCAAGCGTCTATTTGAATAAATATATTTTTGATTTTGATTTTGAAATGATTGCACCGCGTGTTTCAGAAAATTCACCAGTTGTTTTTGATTTTGTAATGCCTACCAATAGTATTAGCGACGAGCTGATCTGTTCTGTTCTGCTTTCAAAGTAAATTTATTTTAAGCTCGGGCCGTAGTTTAAACGACGAATTCGTATATATGGACGCAATGGGTTGTAATGATTTTAGCGTTAGAAACATGTGGACACGTCAGGTAAATGATGATATGATTTATATGTTATGTTCATGTGATATTAAATAAATTAAACTACTTATAAATGCAAAAAAAAAAAACTTATTCACCTAATCGCTAATTCGAAATTATCAATGATCAATTATATATCGATTACACACTGATTTATCGGGCTCCGTGTTAAGGTCATTGATTCTTACAAGGTCGATAGAAAATTCTTTCGGTGTTCTTACAGATTGTTTGAAGTGATTAATGTACTCGAAAGCACCAAACGTGCTATATAGGCTTGAAACGTTCGCATGAAAATAAAACTGTTAAAATCTACATTGTTAAGGGCCAGTTCAGTTCCATGTTGCCGGGCGGCCTGTTTGTGAGGCGGGTCACTCTCGCGCATCGAACTGTAAACCTTTTGAGTCCAGCCGGCCGCGAGCCACCCTGGCCCCTTCCCATCGCACACAGCCACCCTCCCTTCCCTGCCCATCCTGTAAATACCGACAGCGGACCGTGCCGCCCGAACGCCTCACCTAATGAAAATCCGATCTCTTTATTTTTATATTCCCGCACGCGGACTGTTAACCCGCCACGTAATGAAGTTAATAGAAATATTTATTACCACCGCTTCCACAGAGCTATCTCGGATAACGGTGGTTTCTACGCGATTGCCCGATCCGTTTTTTTTTTTGAACTCAATATTGTTTCAACATTAAAATTATTGTGTCTATTATATATGTTAGATTAATATGTTTAGTACAATATAGCAGTACTATTTTTATCGGCATGCTTATTTGTATAAGTTTATAGGTCAGTGTTAAGTATGTAGCAAAAACATTTTTAAAGTCAATTCACTACGAAAACAAAAATGTTTAGTTTTACCCTCCAATAAAGTCACTGTGAGGTATTTTGCGATGCAGGTTATGCAGGGAACAAAAAAGGCACACCTACGCTGTGCGACCTGGAATTTTGAATTTTAGGGCCAGTGTTCAAAGGATAGTGTTTTTTAACCTATACAAAGCCCTATCAAAGTTGCGTAGGCGGGCGTGATTTTTTCACCGAACAACGGTCGCCCAAAATGTGTTGCAGAGAAATACGAAACAACGTAATGGGATTACAGTGAAATACAGACCGGTGTCGATCGAGAGAACCATGTAACTAATGAAGTTATTAATCCGATATTTTTCGGCTGTGGATCGTTCGCTTTTAGACTTTGAAACGATTTTTAAATACGGTGCGTTTCATTACTGTTGAGCGTTTTTTGACTTGTTCGCAGGACTCAACAAATAGGCAAAACAAAGAGGATGAAGGGAGTCTGAGCACACCAGTGGGTAATTAGCCAACATTTATAAATTACATAATTAACATATAGAACTAATGAAAAACTAAATATTTGAAGGATATTACTTTCTATTGTGCTATTCTCTGCGCTTAATATGAAATTTAAAAATTTGTAGAAAAAATGGACGAAAACCTTATTGTGTTCGTCGGTGTAAAGATAAGCCGTTTAGCTCAGTGGTCAGAGTGTTGGGCGCGTATTCTCGAGGACACAAGGTCAAATTAAAAACATTAAAAACTTAATGTAGAAGTGATGGGTACAATAATTACTTAGTAATTTAAATCGTCCTAATACGATAATGTTATTTTACATTGTGTTACGAACAAAATTGTTCCAAAGGATCATGGACAAGCATTTTTATAGAGACAACATCCCTTTTGTACTCGTCATGTTCCCGATCAGGCAGATTTAAGTGTTTAATCCCCATCTAGAAAACCAGTTGGCTATATTTATGTTAATAAAACTTAACAGACCGCCACAATATTGTCTTAAATGAAATTTCAACTTGTTCAAAAATATTTAATTAAGCTTCTGCTAGAAATTCTTCTGTATGAACCCCCTATAAAAGAAATTGGCGTTATTTTTATTCATTGTTTCCTTGAAGAAAAGGTTATCAAATCATCAAATTGCAAAAGTTATCATTGATACTGTATTTTTATGTTATTTTTTCGCCACTTTGTAGGAGAAAGGAACAACCCGAGTCCCCTATTTAATAACGGAAATCTTCGGAACGGCGATGCGAAATCACTCAGTAAGTACAAATTCAATAAAATTCCTTCCATTATAATGTAATAAAACTGTTATTAGCTTTCCAACCGACTTCAAAATGGGGTGGTTCTCAATTCAGTGGGTAGGTACTCTTTAGAGTTCCGTACCCAAAGGATAAGACGGGACTGTCTGTCTATTGATTGATGATTTTTTGCCGCTTTTTTTTTTGATAATGATACGGAACCTTTCGTGCGCAAGTCCGAATCACACTTGGTTAGTTTATTTCGTGTTTGTTACCTTCGAACTATATTTACGTTTCACTTGAAGACTCCCACTTGAAATTCGAAGGGAAATGAACGACGGCGCATACTCAGATTTCTCGTGTTGGCTTTCTCATTTGGCAGGTGTCATAATTACCTGAATCATTTAAATTTTCGACACCTAGTAGAGATTCGTTTAAATTTCGTATTCTCGGAGATGACCCGTTACCAAAGAGTCTTCGTTAACTCATATGAGTCATAGTTTAGTGTCCTAGCGCTCGCTTTTAATTCAGTATACTCAAGCTTCCAGAGTTCAAGTCCTGGTGTCGGCAATTTTAGTGTTGACTTATCGCATGCTCAGCGGTGAAGGAAAACATCAGAAAACTGCAAGTTTTCGATAATAATAAAAAATAATAATTAGAATACATCTGAAGTCAGCCCATTCGCAGAATGCCGCGCGTTGGACTATACCTTAATACCCTATTTACCGTCCAGCTGTGAGACATACGTATATAGGCTGTTAATATTTTTTCATTTCACTATTTTCACTATTTCATATTTTTACACAACGTTATCTTTTTTTTTTTTTTAAAAAACATTTCCCCTTTAGGATAACATTATCCTGTGTTGTAAGGACGTTTTCACAAACATAAATCTCCCGCGGACAAACACCCAGATAAGATACGAAACAACTATCTGTGGGTCACACAAATTGTTGTCCCGTGTGGTGATCGAACCCACGTCCCTCGACCGTGACAACTGCGCCACGGTCATCAAATCTCTAGTCCCAAACTAAGCAAAGCTGGACTATGGGCAAAGATAACTAAAAGACATACATAAACATATTTTTCTTTCCTAAATAAATTCATATTATAGATATATAAACGCCCAGACACTAGAAAAAAACATTGTTCAACACACACAATTTTTCCACTAGTGAGGATCGAACCCACACCCTTTAGCGCAAGAGAAAGGGTTGTTAGTCATGTAACGTAGTTTAATAGTGTAAACAGTATTAAAACAATAGGTTACCGTAATGACTTAATTCCTATTTTCATTCGACGCTCTCTGGCTAAAATGATGATGATGATAATGATGAATGACTTAAGTCTTACCTTTTGCCATAATAAAATGGATCGCGCTTGACGCAGTCTGGTCTTGGAATACTCGAGTTTTACTAGAACTTCTTCACAATCACCATACAATTTTAATTCATTATTAAACATTCATAAATACGAGTATATAAACATCTTATAATAAATGAACATCTTAGCCCAAATACAAACGTAGCCTCGAGCGGTGTCCGAGCTTCAGAACTGCGCCAACCGATCCATAATTAGACTACAATTTCAGACAACTACCGCATATACACGACGATGAACGACATGCGTGGTGGTACCACTCCGCGCAAGAGATCAGTCGCCACCATGGATGCTCAATCACTCCGATCCGTGGAAACACACGCCCCGCCTCCCACGAATCCAGAAGATAATAAACGTCTCACTACGTAAGGACGATAAAAATATTCCCTTAACTGTGAATACTACACCGTAGGTTTTTTGTAAAAAGCCAATAAGAAAAATTTCTTACACAAAGGTCAATGTTACCAATGATGTTATTATACGAGTAAGACTTCAACATTACTGTAACAACTCATCACTTTCTTTACAGAGTGTTTTTTTGCTTTCGCTCTCATCGCACTTTTGCATATTTTTAAACAGAAATTTAAATGTGTTTTATTTCAGGAAATACATGACATTAATATTGAGTGGAATGTATGCGATACTGCTGGTTACTTTGGGTTTGATATTCTACCTAGCGGACCCTTTTGTGGAGCCTCCGATTGCATCGGTAATTATCAATACATGGCGTGAGTGCACTTGGTGTGATTTTTGATTGGATTAATTAATGATTTGAATGAAACAATATTTCAGATATACTCAATCGTTCTAACAGGCATGGGATTCTTTTACCTATTATTTTTATTATTTGACATAAGCCGTTATAAGACCACCGCACTAAAGAACCAGAAAATCAAAAGCTTACACGAAGAAAAGATTTCCGAATACTACCGAAAGCAAGAGGTATAAAATATTTACATTAACGCTATTATAAATCAACATTTAAAGTAAAATTTATAGTGTTAGTTTTAATGTTAGTTAATTAAATTATATAAAAATACTAAAACCGTAGCATAATGTATTGGTTCCAGGAAGAATTTGGTGTTATTGGATCAGGTGAACGGACACCAGACAGCTACAGGTCTTTGGGAATACCATCACCAGTTCTTATGCCTTTGAAGCATTCCTATTGTTTCAGTCAAGGCCGACATTCGGGAAGCTTTTATCTTAAATTGGGTGCTGCTGGTATGGCGAACAATTTTAAAATTCTATTTTAATTCCAATTAATATAAGATTAATTTATTTATAATATTCGGATTTTATTCTGCCTCATACAAAACATATGGCGTATTATTTTTTCAGGATTCGCACTTGGTCACTTGGTACATTCGGTGCTGTTGATCACTTTGCAAGCTAATTATTTCCTAGACGATGACGTTGACAATCAAGATTGCATTGATATATTACGTTTAGTTTTAGACATTTTAAATCCACTGTATTCGTTCCTACAACTATACTTCATTTTCAAATATTCCAACGTAATAATTTTACGAGCGCAGGTAAAGACGAAAGAAAGTGTATATATATTATCCCATATTTTTATAATTTATCACGTACACTCGTCACCTTTTTTTATTTAAACAGAGTTTGGGGCATTTCGGATTTATGCATATGATCGGTAGCAGCCTTTGCTTTTGGATTTCGACTATTGTGCGTGAAACAGTTTTAGCGCTGACCCTATATGCAAATTCCAAATATGGAAATTCAACGTACGCCTATGAATCGAGACAAAACTTTCCAACAGGTATAGGAATTTTTTAAAAACTTGTTTACATGAACTTAACATCTTAATTCGAAAAAAAAGAGATTCGGTTGACTACTTTTTAATTGTTTCAGAATACAGGGCGGAAAGTCGATTTTTCGACATCAGTGACCTCTACAATGAGGATTGTCAAGGCTCAGCTGCTGTGTCTTCTGTATTCGAAAGTTTATCACCGTACTTGTACCCTTTTAGTGTCGAATTTAACATCCTCATTGGTAACACTTGAAAATATTTAAATTTATATTATATAACTTGAGCGACATTTTATTCAGTAAGTCTTGTCTTTCAGTCGCTGTGTATTACATCATATGGAGTAATATTGGTCACTGCAACAACGAGTCAGATAATGCGGAGTCAAATTCAAGTTTAGACGAGAATTACTCATTCTGCAAGTTTGTATCTTTTATTTTAATATTAAACGTTAAACTGACCAATACTCCGTAACTCCTTAGAAGTTGCGGGTAATAAACTCATTTCCGGTGATGAGTATTAATTAAGTAAACTATTGTAAAGTTACCAGTTTTCTCCCTGAATGTTATGTCAGGTTACTTAATATTAAGTTCTGAGCCCACGAGTAAGCGACCCACGGACTTAGGGCAATGTAGCTGATGCACGACGGCGACACCACACCGTCTGCTTCGCTACATATCCGCTACGCCTAACATAAGATGGATAATTCGAGGAACAAGATAGGGCACTACATGGTCCAAGGGGTCCCCTGAGATGGAGGTTTGAACCTCAGCTCGAACAAACACGAACGTAATTTACGGAACATAAATTATTTAAAAGACCCAATATTTACGAAAATAATCAATTCAAATTTCTTCTTCGAAAGTAGTTGGCGATCTTTGCAAGTAAATTATTATTACAAAATTAACGTTATTAATTTACATAAAGAACAAATACACGACAATAATAATACGATTAACCAGTGACCTGGCACAGAGAATATCATTATGTAAGCTACAAACCGGGAACGTTGCGTTCGCCGGCTAACGCGCTACGCCTCTTGTATGTTTTAAAGTGAATGCGGTGTGCGTCACGCTATAAGCGGAGTGACACATTTTTGGTCACTGACCCGTTCGGGCTTCTATTGCCGCATCCGACGCGTTTTCAGACGGCAGGATTCGTGATTTTGGAATATTGTGCTTTTTATTTGCAACTATTTAAAAGCGAAGTTCCTTAATGTAGCGGACGGAAGGTTTTACTTGGTAGAAATGGTCGCGTAAGCAAAATGGTATATACCCCCTCTATTCAACTCTCAGCGACTCGCTCACTCTATTTCTAACGCACAAGTTTACAAACGGTTTTGGTTAAATGTTGGTATTACACTTTCAAAATTTCGATTTTATAATACGAACGTGTTTTGCTTTTGCTTCTACAGAATACCGACTGCGAGCGAGGAGAATGATTTTACGAGCAATATGGTAATCTACGCAGACTGTCACGCTTCAAATCGAGGACTTTTCATGGGATTGATAGCTATTGTTATTGTCCTTGGAATGCTTATTATTGGATTCGTCTTTAGTAGCGTTGGCGGGTAAGTCATTACTAAACAACATATAAATTATGTTGGTCAACAAAACATGAGCCACACACATGGTTATACAGACATTACACATTCACATTATGGTTATACAGTAGATGAAAAGTGATCTTTTTCAATTGAACCTTTGATATTTAATAATTTTGATAGAAACGCGTTGCATCAATGAGTTGAATTGTTCAATATATAACAACCTCGCAGAACGTCAGTCATCACCACAAATATTATTTTATTATTATTATTTTTTTTATATTCATTTGTTTTCTCGTCTGGTTGGGGTTATAAATAAAAATATATATTGCATATATAAAATAAATATTATGCATAAAAATAAACATATATATATATATATATATATATATATATATATATATATATATATATAAATATTTTATATAATACATATATAAATTGGACCCAACCAGACGGAAGCCCTCGGCAGGGGAGACCAAACGGCCGAGGGTTAGGGCGAAAGGGAGAGAAACCGGCGGACGATGCGAGCGTTATCGAGGAACACCGCCTTCTGCATTTGAGCTTGGAGCGATCCGTCCCGGAGTTCCAGTCGCCTCAAATGTTTAGAGAGACTGACTGGGATTAACCCATTGGCAGAAACGACTATCGGGATAATTTCGGTCGGCACACCACCCCACATGTCGGTCACCTCGTGAGCCAGGTCCAGAACTTTAAATTTTATAAAAAGCAATGGCGACATCTCTCGTTCGATTTATCGTTGTAAAACGCTATTAGAAATTGTTTCTATGCTGGAAAGGATATAACAATAGATGCGCCAAGCATTGCTTCGAATGCTAAATAACAATGTAGAAAGAAGGCGTTAAGATTTTCGTCGCTGTGGCTATCAGTCGTTTAGCTCAGTGGCTAGAGCGTCAGGCCGCGAATGCCGAAGACGTGGGTTCGATTCCCACAGCGGCGAATATCTTTGCGTACTTTTTCTACATGTTTTAATGTTCAATCTTAAGAGCAGGGATTAGCACTATAAAAAAAGCTTAAAAATTATTATTATCATTTATTTCAAGTTACTAAGACTCATATACATCCAAATTTTAAATTAAATTTCATCATATTTAAAAACAAAAAGAAAGAAAAGAAATGCCTCATGGATGCTAATAATGTGAAACGCCTGTCCGTCCGTTCACCACTTTCTCTTATTTAATAAAACCTATTTAATGCTGTGTCTACGCCGCAAATACCTAAGAATTTTAATAACATTCACCTCAATTCTTCTATATGTAAATAAAAAACACAATTTCTATTCCAGGGACTTCCTCGAAATGGGTTATCTTCTCAACGATTGCACTAAGTTGGGTTTGCATGTGGTCATGTTATTCGCGGTTGTTGTAGCTTACAATCAAACAATTAAGCTGGACATAAATGAACATCCTATCTCCCTTTTGGATGACGTTCTACTCTTCATATGCCTACCAGCGTTCTTTATGGAAACAGTGTTTTCCATGACCGCTACAATAAGTATACTGAACGTTATCAAAACTGTTGACGTTAGTGTTATGGTAAGAGTTTTTCTTTTCATTGTTATTCAAAATTACAAAATTATACGTTATGAAAAGTATCAAAACCAAATTATGTTAAGAATCTATTTTTGTCAATGTATTTTTTATAAAACTTTGTATGCATAATAAGAATAAGGTAACATAAGTTAGTAACCATTAGTGGACCATTAACTTGAAAAGTCTACGAAATTTTGATTAATTAACAAAATTTAGAACATCATACAAATTAGCTACACAATTATGCCAATAGCTGAAATTTTACTTTTTATTTATATTTTATTAATCAAAAATGGCTACGATGACACGACATGACATAATAAAATAATATATAACACAAAAACAATATTATTAATTGCAGTGAACACTTTATTTTTATTTTGGTCTTTAAATTTTTGATGATAATCATATGTAATCATATTTAGCATAAACTTTTACAGGTTATACAGGTGATCATCCAAACAGCTCTTTTGGTTGACGGCCTGCGGCGCTGCAGCAACAGCAGAAAGCTGCGAAGAACGAAGCCCGGCAGAGAACTTCTCATGTTCCTCATCATAAGCAACGTTGGAATGTGGCTGCTCAACACATTCTCCTACAAGTCTCCAGAAAGTCTAGATGAAAGATACGAGTTCTACGGCAAAGTCCTCTGGAGTATACTTGGTCACATTTCCTTACCCCTCATCATGTTTTACAGGTTCCACTCCAGCGTGTGCTTTGCTGATATATGGGGTTCTGCTTATAAGCCTGGCTCAGAACACTAAACAAAAAAAATATATCGCATTTATGATGATTAAACGATGTAATTATGAGTAATAATTAAACCATAAATAACGTAGTAAATCTTATTAGTGTAAAAAAAGGTTTATTTTAAAGCCAGCTGACCTATGCTTTAAAGCAATATCCGCCAGCAATGATGGTGAAGTGCAATACGATAGTGTAAGATTTCGTTATATGATTCGCAAGTTAAACTTAATACAAATGTTCATTTAAAACATAAGTCTATCTAAAAGTAATCTAGTTGTAATATATGTATTGTGCATGGTAATAATATTTAATAGGATTACTAAACTTTTTTGAAATCATACTAAATAAGAGAAACATGGCACGTAGTAATGTAATAAATAAGTTCGCTCCCAATTAATTCACAGTGACACAATGTACCAGTGGCACAGAAACGTATTAATTATATAATTAATGCTGGTAACGTGATCATTAACGATAACGTCATTAAACACGTACGTGTATCACCCTGTAGCACAAAGCACGTATCAATGCATCGTCTTAGCCGACCGGCTCGGAGAGGTAGTGAATTAATTTCCCGCCATCTAATGCAATTATCCAATATTAGGTTAAGTACTCGGACGGTCCACGGATGCTACCGCACTTAGCTCCGCGCGACCCGACATACAAACTAGTTACCTCCTCAGGTCGGGATGAAGTGTTTCGCATATATAGGGTAATACGTTTAGTCGGCTGAAATATGCGCTCTACCTAACAATTTATGTTAGGCTGCAGCAATAATTGTCCTTAGCCCCTATGTGAAAACTTTACTTTTAAAACATTACTTTCTTTAATGGACTGGCAATTTTTGTGTTTTAATAATTATTTTCATATATATGACGTATATTCATGTTACTTCCATAGATATAACATGATGTGTATAAATAGGTAATAGCATGTAGTTAAGAGACATTAAATTGAAATGTATTCTAAAAGATAATTTTTGCACAAAGAATATTAAACTGAAATGTCTTTTTTTGGAGTTATTTTTATTTTTTTTATCACGTAAGAAGTATAATTATAACGGTTTTTACATTTTTGTGTAGACTAAAATTTTAATAGCAATCCACAATTACAAATTTTAAGGTCAATCTGTAAGAGTTTTGCAAATTGTATGGGTTCTACAGCCTTTCATGAGTCTTCATTTAATATTTTGTATACCTATTAATTCGCTTAAAAACTATTAAATTTTGACATATTCTTTTTTTCATTTTGTTACTTGTCATTAAATTATTACCTATGTTTAAAATGTCAAGTATTAGCTCTTAGGGCTGTTGGTTGAAAATCAATAACAAGATATGATCCAATCAGACACATTGAAATATGTACGTATATGAAACACCAACGAAACTTAAAATAAAAACTAAATTCTTTTCGAATCAAAACATCGCGAAAGATCGCAGGTTACTCGCTGTAACTTTAAACCCAAATTTTAAAACGACGCAAAATAGTCTAACGTTGTTATTTTCCTTCGTAACAGAGTTGGAAAATATGATTTGCTCCCGAAGCACTGAGGCACAGTAACGCACGGATTTGCGCTCTGGTGACCATTGCCACTGTTATCTAATTGTTTCCGATCTTCGCTTAACAACCACCGATTTGTATTGACGAAATTTTTAACAGGTGAATGGCATCTCATAAAAACCCGCGCCCGAGCGTTCCTACTTTTTTACCGAACTTCATAAATATCCATATATTGTTAAATAAAAATCTTCGTACCGCTTGTTACCTTTTATTTAGTTTTACCTGTCCCGATGATTGTAATGGAATCTTGCAGGTTAAATTTGATCCACTCGTGCGATTGAGTTAAACATTCTCTCAACTCATTTCGTCCTCATGACAATAATTATTCACGATTACCTAAATGCCGCCGTTTTTAATACAATATAGCCGCCGCTATTTATTTTTGCTCTAAAAAATTATCTGATTAATAATTACCATTTGCAGCTTCATTCTATCACATTAATTACACTAATTAAAGCTTGTTTAAAAAAAACTAATTTCCTAATAATAATTATAAACACGGAGGAGTGTGAAATTGTCATAATTAAAATTAATAATAATAATAATTTCGGGTAATGCATGCCCAGTAGTATCCATCAAAACGTTAAAATAATCTCTTTGCATTTATTTAACACAAGCGTGTAATGAATTCCTCCACGCACATTAACATATTAAACGCAATATGCACACCGCAACAACGCACAATTGGCTATAGGAAGTGAATCAGGCTTCGGGTAAAAGGCGCCATACCATTAAATTCGTTCTGCGCCCAATTTTCCAAACATTTATAAATATCCAGCACAAATATGGAGTTAACTGAATTATAAAACTTAATTAATTCCAATATAGCTCAGGTGACCGTAGTCCATTAGCCTGTCAGTATTAAATTAATACCCAGTTTGTTTTTCAGAACACTTAAACTTCATGCAATAATTGCACCGTAAAAGCCTTTGCGTACCTACTAATTAGTTTGAGGGTTGAGTTTATAATATATCGAGCAGTAATTGGATCCGTTTAATGCAAATTGAAGTTTATTGAAATATCTTCAACGAAATGTCTACGTAAAGATTTTATACCGATATTTTTTATTGTTTTTGTATTATACTCAAACAATTTATTAAATTTTAATAAGATAAAAAGCTAATATTTACTTAAGAAGATTCATAAAATTTCTCAAGATAATAAAATTTTATTTTATTCCTGTTCTTGTCCTCGTATTAAGTGGAAATTTGACCGTAATTCATTAATTGTTATAATTTATTAATTTTTTTCATACTAATTCAATCTGGCACTAATATTATTTGGTGACCTTTACTCCAAGTATCTGTATACCAGTAGACTATTTTGTGGTTGACATTGAGAACATTTTATGTGTTTTTACAATATCTTAACTTTAATCAAATCTGGCACACCTCCGTACGCACATTATTCTAAAAAAAGGAATTCAAGTATCTAAAATGATTGCTTAGCTCAGATAGATAATCCCATATCTTCGGATCAGAAAAGAGAAAAAATTATAAATTTAAAAAAAAAATTACAGAGGCAGTTCTAAAATACCAATTTACAAACAAATTGACGTATACCTTTCGGCTAATCTATGGAATGAATGAACTAACTTTCTTAAGAAACTTCTTAATATACATAACTACTTCGGGTAGATTCTTTTTTCCTTTTGCGAAGGATAAAAACTATATAATAGTGCTAATCTCTGCACTTAAGATTGAACATTAAAATTTGTAAAAAAAGTACGAAAAGATTGTCGCCGCTATGTGAATTGACCATACCAAGACCCACGTATTCGACATTCGCGGCCTGACGCTTTAGCCACTAAGCTTAATTTTAACTATCTGCGGGTAATTTAAAAATCTACAATATTTTATGCAGTAAGTCGAAAAAAAAGACTCATAAACTTGATGATGACCATGAAACCATTCCAGATTTCCTTAAGAACTGAGAAAACCGGAAAAGTAGTTCACAAGATGCTAAATGAGAACAGCCGCAATGGTCCTTCAAAATACCAGATATTGCATTAATTTTGCAAACCACTGAGAATAAGAGCCTCCTCTACCTGTACGGGACGAAACGCAAAACCATTAATAGTCCTACCACACGCCGGTAGCCATGACGCCGTGGTCCTTGCATAGTCGAACTGGTATTTTCGTACAGCAAGAACTGTTTGAAAAAATATTGACCTATAAGCAATGAATACATCTAAATACAAAATACAATTACAATGTATATACTCCTATATGCAAACACATTAAATACTTAGTTATTTGAAAACGTGAATGTTCGCTTTCACGGATTTACAAATAATTAAGTATTTATGGTGCCATCTGATATTTTTTTATGCCAAAAAAAAACATAAAAAAAAAGTTTGTTACATACAAACTTTATTCGGATGGACGTTTGTTACTCTCACACAAAAACTACTGAATAGATTTTAATGAAACTACAATAATATAGATTATACATCAGAATAAGACAGACATAGATACAGAGACGACATTAATTGTAAATATTAGTTTTCTCGTGTAAAAAGAAACAATCCTATTTTTACTCCTCATAAATAGCTAATTTTACCTATTCCTGAAAATAATACTTAAAAACTTCACAATGTATCAAGCGTTATTATTATTAATTAGTTTCAATTAGTATAAATCCTAATAGCACTGAAATTAAACAGTAAAGAGCAGTGTTAACATACCAGTCAAGCACGCAGATATAAATTCTCAATATAACTCTTTATGATATTCTTCACAATTACAAAAGTACTTAACATATAATTCGCTACAGATTTTACGACTCCGCTACACTTCCTTTTAATAGTCCGCATTATCTGATTTTAACAAACAAACAAACCCACGTAACGGTTCTATATTTGATACCGAAGCGCGTTTTATCTGCATTTATTGGAGCAGAATACATTATGGTCACGCTTGAGGTGAGTTTAGGCGCCCGCGCACTCCGGAAGGGCGCGACGCGACATCGCACCGGAAACGTTCCCGCGACCCGTGACTTGGTCGCATACGTGCTTTGTTCGCCGACTACGGCACACGCAGATTGTTAAAAAGTAAGCAAAAAGAAAAACTGTGTTCGAAATTCAAATTGGTTTTATTCGTAATTATTCAAGTGTCCGAGAAATGTTACCATTGGAAAGCAATTAAAAGAAAGGAATAAAATACGAACTCTATTAAGGGCGCATTCGATGAATGATATTTACAAGGAACAGTTAAATAGTAGTGCGGAGATCCCGACGAGCACCCTCAAGTCAAGCGATTGACGTTAAATGCCAATTGCTCTGCCCAACTCTCGATGTTGTGGGTAAGTGATTCACTTGTCAGTTTGTTGCTTTTTCTATGCCACTATATATTTTCGCATCAACTTCATTTTCTCTACGCTAAAAGACCAATACTTATTGGGTTTGTAAAGGAAAACGTTTAAGATAGTGCTTAATAAATCCAATATATCACTT